ACCTTCACATTTCATTACCGAGCTTAAAATTCACCATCTTTATTAACTTATCACTACTCACGATGAATTCGATAGCGTTGATTAATTCACCTTCACATTTCATTACCGAGCTTAAAATTCACCATCTTTATTAACTTATCACAACTCCAGCTAAGTGGTCAGAGTGGGACTTAAACCCGCGACCTCCGGATTTCAAGTCCGGCGCCCTAACCACTCGGCCACGCTGCCTCCACGAAATAAATGGCTTTATTTAAGTGTCAAATGTATTTAACCCTACTGTGCTATAAGTGAGGACACTGAAAATAAACAGCCAAATATTGCACATAGAACGTAAACTATTAAGAATCCCAACTGGGGGAAGCCTCCCACGCAGACGCTCTTAGGGCTCGTCACGCGTTCCTTCCCCACGTGGGGAAGGAATTGGGAAATTTCGGAAACCAGTGGTGAGAGAGAATACCTTGAGAGGGGATTACGTTGGGTATACAAGGCCTTCTTAGGGAATAAACTCTTAATCCTCTCTTAATTTCTCGGTGTTTGGAACCGCAGAAGATATTCCCTTCATCTTTCAAGAATAAGGCGCAGAGGTCAATGTCTGTATTAGATGAGAGGCTTACGAAATCCGGTTTTTTGGAATCAAATTAAGAAGTGAATTTTTGTCCGTAAAAGAAAGGTGTCCGTAAGGAGAGGTTGCACTGTATTTCTCTCTACCTTTGAATTGTGACGTGTCTCAAGTTCGTTCCTCAGTTCTTGCAGCTGTTGGGCCAACATTTCTTCATAACGTGTCTTCATTTTCGATTCAACTTCAAAGCGCTTTGCCTCTGCGATTCGTAACTGGCCGCGGATCCCAACTATATCCTAAAGAGAAAAGATTGCAATACATGCACAGCGAGCGAAAAAAATAGGTCAGAAGCGCGGCGAGAGAAGGCGAAAAAAGTTCTTTCGCTTTCGCTCGCGCGCGTCTCCCCTATTTTTTTCGCTCGCCGTTTTTCGCGCTGCGCCCCAACTAACTGAACGCCTGGAAGAGACTAATGGTCAGTGCGTTAAATTCCGGATCGAGCGGTCCGGGTTCGAGCGCTGGCTGGGGTCATTGGGTTGTGTTCTTGAGCGGGCCGATACTTTATTCTCGCAGTGCCTTACGGTGCTACGGTGCCTCTCTCCACCCAGGTGTACAATTAGTATCCCAAGAGGCAGGCAAGAGATAATAAGCACTCAATGACTGGCCCCAAGGAAAACACTGAGGTTTGTTTCCCCGAGACCCTTGATGTTTAATAATTACACGCAACATCCAGGAGGGGAGTAGAAATGCTCCTAGTCTCTTAACGCCAAAATTTAATCTTAAGTACAAGATTAATGGATCTAAACGGAACGTGTTTTAAATCTGAACAGGTTCTGATGTGAGAAAATTGAAATATGTTTTCTAACAGCTTGCGCAGGTTAAAGCGTCATTTCAAAACTACATGTTTTTGTCGATAGTTAAAACCCATTACCTTTTCGTATGTTTCCTTCATAGAAACCAGTTCTGTTTCCTTGGACAGTAATTTGCTTTCAAGGTCCATCTTTAAGAGGGTCTCTTGTTCAAGGTCGAATTTAGTTACTTCCAAGGCGTCCTTCAGTTCTTGGCGCTCTTTCATTAGCTCCAGTATTTTAACTTCTAAGTTCTTAATTTCCTGATTTCTTGCCACTAGCTGTCCTTCTTTTTCAGAAAGTTGCCACTGAGCAGTTTTCAAGGCATCTTCAGTCACCTTGTGCGCTTCGATCTGTTTATCAAGCCTTTGAGGTGACAAGAAAGTTTAGTAGCCGCCTATTAGCAAGTATTAATTGTCAATACAATTATAAAAACAATCCGTAAGTCTCGTACAGTGCTGCTAGCGAATAAGCTGGACGTGATGGAGTAGGCACATTAACTTCGCATAATGTGGCAAGTCATTGCAATTAAAATACAAGTTCTGCTAAATTATGCTACTGTTATTAGGTATAGAATACGCGGGCTCGTCTGTTTGTTAAATACAGAGTCGAAGGCTAAAACAGTGAACTCAGAAATGAAGTAATAAATTCCATGGTAAATTTAATGGATATCTGAATTCATTTATTGCTTCAAAAATAAACTTTCCCGTCTGTCCTGAAATGAAGATTTCGATATTCAAAACGATCTATAAGCGAAAGAGTTCAGCCAATCAGCAAGCACTTAAATTTATGCTTATGCCAACCATGTCTTCACTGGATAGAACACCGAGAAGAACGCTTATGCTTATGTCGTGGCCGTCCCCACTAGCACATAAGCTTCTCATGCCTGTGCTTCTGCTTGCGTCGCAAGTGAGGACCGGGCTTCAACCGACGGTTATGCACCTAACAGTTTGATCTCATATCTGATTGGTAGCTATCCAATTAACATGTCAAAGCCATTACAAAGAGTCCACGGTTTTCTGGTTCGCACAATAATGCGTGAGTGCATGTCAATTCCTTGCGGTTTGATCCCGCATTTGATTGGCAGCTAGGCAGTTAGACATGCCTAACATAGTAATGGCAACACAGAAGGGAAGCTAAACCCTTTCGCGACGTCTTGCACAGTAGTACACAATAGTCCAGTTTTGAAACACCTTAGAGTACAGCTACGATAAATTTTTGCGGGCTTATCGCCGATTGCCACAAACTAGGAAATAGAACTCATCGTGGAATATTTTTACAACTTGGAGCGAGAAAGAAATTCTTATCACTACACACAATAAAATGTACTTGTCAAGAGAACTGCTGTGTTGTGCATTAGGATGACACCCAGTCTGTTACTATAAAACACAAGAAAAGTGTGTAAAAGACATAATATTACTTACTTCTTCTTGTATTCATCAGCCAGTGCCGCGTTTTTCCTGTTCTCGGTATGAAGGTGGGCTCTCTCTCTTAAAATCTCGTCGTACAGTCGATTTGCATCCTCTAGCCTCGATTCAAACTGCTTAATCTCCTTTTCTTTGCTCATCTTCAATACAGTGATCTCGGCTATCAACTTCTTCTTCTCGTCTGTCAGGTGGCTGTTCGAATCCTCCAAAGTTTTGACTTTTTTAATGTAAACGTCAAGGCGTTCATTCAACTGTTTAAGTTCATCTTCTTTCTTCTCTAGAAAGTAACGAAGAGCTTTCTTCGTCGGGGATATAATGGGTGGAAGGTCAATGGGAGGTAAACTCGTCATTTTCAAAAGCACCTTTTTCAGGCGCAGTTAGTTTTGTTTTTGTTGTTAGCACCAAATGGATAGGATTTCAGAGATGATTATTCCACAATTGCTGGTGTTTTTATGTCTGCTCGAGTGGCTCAGAACGCTGAAAACCGTGAACTTCCAATCATATGCGAGCTGTAACAGCCATTAGCTAGAAGGGTTTATTTAATAACCGGGTGTTGTCACGAAACAACCAGCGTTACTGACGCTTCTTTCGAAATCAATTAGAACAGTTTAACTTATATCTTTTCTGTTTCAGAGTTTTAACGTAAGCGGAGGAGAGAAAAACGAGTTTTAGAAACGAATGCTCAATTCGCGATAATTCAACAGATGTCCACGCCCTCAAGGCACACTTACGACTGCGGTTTCCGCAATAAACATTGTTTAACAAACAATTCTGTATGTTCAAGGTCCGGTCTTCATAGTTAGCCGAACATGCACTATGTCATGTTTACTGCTAGAAAAGATGTCTTTAATAACCTACGATTCGCCCGTGAATTCTTAAGTGCACTCCCGATTCCGTTTACGCATTGCACTGAATAGTCACAATACAGTTCAACCCCACTATTTCGAACTCTCAGGTGAAAAGAAAAGTGGTTCGAAATAGCCGATAGAAAATTACTGAAGGGTAAATCAAAGGGAAATGGTTTTGACTTCGAAATAACGGCGAATTCGAAATAACCGGGTTCGAATTAGCGGAGTCTAACTGTATATTCGCAGGTACGAGTTGCTGAAACTCGTGAACTAGTGTTAACTTCCGTGCTAGTTAAGTGTTTTATCAGCTGTTTGTTAATTAGTTGGTCGCTTGGTAGAAGCAGTCTGTTCCATCGTGAATCATTATTTAACTGTGTTTATTTATTGCAAAGTTTGAATGGCACTCGAACAAAGTGACCAGCTTCTAATTGGCTTGATAGCTCAGTGCGTAGAGCATTCCACCTGGTAGTACCGCACAGGTCATGCTTTGAATTCAGTTTTTTTTCAGGCTTTCTCTTCGCAACTGCTTAATTGTGTATATGACTACGAAGGTGTTTGATGTCGATGCATTAGTAAATTCTTCATCCGCAGTTCTTATACCGAACAAGGCCAAAAATAGGGTCTGTAGACCCGTAAAAATACTTTGGTGATTTTTGCGGCTACGATTAAGTGATTTCTTTCCGGGAGGGAGGGCTAGTTAATGCTAACAGAGGCAAATTTTTTATGAGTCAAAACTTCTAAGTTTTATAGATTGTTGCCTTAAGTGAAGAGAAAATGCACAGCTAAGGAAGAAAAAACACAATTCTGGGTAACCATTTACCTAAGTTTATTTACGATATAGACAAAAACTGCATTGGCGCTCACTGAATACATCTTTTCCAAATAAAGACACTTTCGCTATATTTGCAAAAATAGAAAGGTTTATCACGACGTGGAAGAGAAATTGAGGCTAAATAAAACAAAAAGAGACAGAAAGCAATGTAGTTACAATCTTGATTATTTTGCCTATAGTTACAACTTTGATTATTTTGCCGTTTTCAAAAAGGAAAACTCACTTCTTCTGTTATGCTATAAAAGAAAAGGCTTTCACACAATGAATGACTTCAGCCTCCACTAGTGATTCATTATTATTCTTAAGTTCGACCAAGGCGAATTGGGTGATGGTGGCGGGACTTAGATGTATGCTTCAGAAGCTGTTGTAAACTGGTCACATCCCCCAGCATAAATTAAATATTAATGATGCCGAGTTAACTATAAGTTAAGGAAAGTAACAAACTTGTGTTGGCAATCACTCAGTGTCCAAAATTTGTGTAGAGATCGTAATACAATTACATTGGATTACAGTCAAGTACAGCGATAACAAAGAACCTACAAGCATTCCTTTTTACAGAGCAAAGATATAAACCTAATTATTTCAATTCGAACTGTTTTAGTCTAAGAAAGGCCACCTAATAAAGTACAAAAATTAGTTGCTGATTACTACTGAATTAAACAGCCTTTTGAAGTTTCTCCCTAAAAAGGAAAAGAAAAAAAGCACTTTTTACTAAAATAGCAAACTTTGAAGTCTGATTTGACCAAATCTAAGAAATCAACACGTGTCTGCATCCGCTTTCTACAACTACGATTTCTAAAATCAAACAGAGATTAATGAAGGAAATTTATTGAATAGACGTTAAGAACGAATTTGACAATACAAGTTACAGCAGATAAGTTCATAATATGGAGATTAAGCCAAACCTCCCATTAAATACTGATCAATTACCAGGACCAATAATAAGCATTTCACCAAACTGAGTGAATTGAACAAACAAGCAAACAGGAGAAATACAGTGAATATTTTCATATAAACCCAGTGAAATAAACCCAGCCATTTGGAATGGTAGGCTTAGTAGAGTGGATGAATATTTAAAACCTTACAACAGTTACGTGTGTAGCAGGCATGACAGTTTAATCATGACAAGTATAATTTACCACTTCAATACAATATTATCACTTTAATCCCTATTCCAAAGCTATCTTGTAGTACCATTTTTGAGAAGAGGTCAAACAATGATCTAAAGGTGCTTAGGGAAACTTCACAGTGCTTATATGACATGTTTATCAAATACTTATAAATTATTGAGTGCAGTCCTCACCTCACGTTGTCCAGACATTATCACTCGACTGTCAGGTTCATCAGTCCTTAAAATGCTCACTTCTTCACTTATTGCAGTTGCTGCCTCCTGCAAAAAATATCATTGAAATACGTGAGGCCGAGATAAACAAGGCAACTGGCCATCACAACACAACTCTCGGGTTTTCAGATAACAAAACCATGTAGACCAATGTGTAATGACCTGTTTTTACTACATTTTTGTACATCAATAATCCTGGGTGTTTTAAGAATTCTTAAGCAGAATCCTATTAAATCTTGGGGTCAAAGTCCACTTACTGCATTACCCATAACTCACCACTGACTTGGAAGAAACAGAATAATCTTTTACTTCACTGGATTGGTAAGCAAAGGAATTGGACATTATCACTCTTGATATGAAAGGCTTAATTCTTTTACTGATTTCCATACAGTTCTTATAATGTAAGCTCTGAGAATTTGGCACTTCATCAAGACAAAGTTACATAAAGAGCAGCTGATTTCAAATGTCTATTTAGGCACTTTTCCAGACCAGTGCTTTCTTAATCAAGTCGATCTAATGAAAATATGTTGGCAAAAAGCTAAATGCCTTTGGAAGTTCTTCACATGAAGTCACACAAACATTGAGAAATTTATGATACTTTAATCTCCACTATTAGATATCAAAACAGTCTACTGTGAACCAGAAAATAACATTTTAAATTACATCTAGGTCACATATTTACATGTAAAGATTTACAGCCTAGAAAATAAAGGTACAACTCTAACTGAATTTAGTTCTTTTTCAAAATAAGGAATTTTTTAAAATTTTGCGAGGTCTTTGATCACATGCTTCCCAAAATACCCATCCTAAACCCAGCAGAATTAGAATTAGTTTCTCTCAGAAATTGTAGGAAGTTTTTATTGAAGTGATCGCTCTTGAGATCGTAATTGAACATCACTGATCTACACAGATAGTTAAGTCTACAACCTTTACTTTTATGGCTGCTACAATTATTAATGGAGTTATTTTGCAGTTTGTAATCAGATGAGCTCAAAATGATACATACTGATCAATCAATTATTATTAAAGGCAAAAAATCACATCATAGAGCTGTCATAGAGGTTTGGGCATTTTCCCTTTACAAGGCAGATATTTTAGTGCATTAATCCTTTATCAATATCCAAAACTTCAAAAGCCATACACAAGCAGAAACAGACAAAAAGACAACATTGGAGTTAAACAATGCAGGTCAGTTCAACTCCATAGAACTCCTGTAAAATGTTTTGTTGAATTAAACAACTCTGCTACAGAAATGAGTAAAATCCAAATAATTCAAAGGTACTCCAACTTGACTGGACAGTAACTCAAGTGCAAACATTCCTTCTTCCATGTCCTCATCGGCAAATTGACAAACACAGACACAAACCTGGCCTTCAGAGTCCTTCAAAACTGTCTTTGTTTCTTTTCCAACACCCCAGCTGGCCTTCTGTCTAAAAACTAGATCTGTAGGCGGTTTGTGTTGACCACCACCTTGTGATGCCCAAATCTAGAATTAGAAGAGGAAAAGTGTTATTTGTTAGTTTGTAGATTCATTGAAAGGTGTGTAATCCTTTCACTTCCCTGTAAAAAACCTATTTCCAAAAATAGGCAGTCGAGGACTCCATGTGGCTACCTTGGATATAAATAATTGCTGAACTCCTCATTTTGATAGCAAGTCAAAAGGGCTTTCAAGCCAACTCGTGATATACAATCAGATAAAAAAGATTAGGAGAAGTTACGTTGCGTGACACAAAATAAATTTTGTAACTATCATTCACTTACAAAAAATCATTAAGCTTATTTAGGTGTAACAATTGAGCTGTTTTAAATGCTATTTCTGATAAAAAAAAGAGTTCCACCAAAAATGAATGTGTTATGTACATGTACACAGTACTTCAGAGTTAAAGAACTATCAATAATGAACTTAATTTCTGTCACATGGGTTGATGAAATCCACATTTTACTTTACGTCTCCTTGCCTTTAAAATTACCCTAGCAAGTCATGGGCTATTCTGATATCAAAGGTTCTGTCCTTAGGACTTGAGTTATAACAAACATCTTCATTCATTTATTACACTAAAAAATTCTTGCATCAGAAGATCGAAATTACTCACACAACAGCAGGTCCCAAACTGACCAAAATGACAAATGGACAAAAGGTTTCTAGCTGAAACTGCGCACTTTGTAAGATGACGTTTACGAGTACGTACCGAGCGACCTCCTTACCTCCTGACTATGTATATGTTTTTCCTACATTGATGATTCTTTTCCTTGAACTGAATTTTATTCTTTTAATGTGTTGTACAAACATTTTATTTTAAACTTGACTCATTAGCTACAAGCTAGGAGCCTAACAAGTTCCAGGTCCTAGAGTATAAATAAAGCATGTAATAAAACTGTATGCATGTATGTATGAAAGTGAGAAAGAAAACTCCGTCCAGCCTTGAAAAAATATCCATCAATAGATAACATGGCCAGTACAGCAAGTCCTTTGGTTAGCAAAATCAGTGATTTCCCGCAGAAAAAAACTGTCATTTGAATAAGTAATTGCTTGCTGTAAGCTCGCTGTGCAAATTATTTTGTCTCCAATCAACCAGTGGTTTATACCTAACTACAATGACAATATGGATGTTTTACTTCATGAGTCATTCACAGGTGTCAAGTTGGCAAAGTAATAAGGTTTGTGCCTGAGGATCAGAAATTAGCGGGCTTAGGCTGGTGGTTTGAATCCTATTGTGGACTTTTTTTTTTTGAGCTTCTTTTTCGCGGATGGCTTGTATTTATATAGGTACTGGAAAATAAAAATGTTCAAGCCATAAAGCAATGTAATTACAAAAGAAAATGAGACAGTATGGAAATTTGAAACATTTGTGGAAGAAAAATGCTTCTCAAGCGCAAAAGTAAGAGTTAAAAGCCACTGTCAAAGTGTTCGACGGATAGAATTATACACCGCCCTTTGTTTCATACCAAATAGCCTTTAATTTGGGAGTGCTTGTTCGACTCTNTGATAGTGTCTCAAAACTCTTACTTTTGGAAGAACATTATTTTTAAGATCATATGACTTCCTCAGTAAAGCATGTGATAAACACAAAGTGCAAGACACTGCCTACTTTTATCCAAACAGTTCTTACCCCTCTTGTCAATAGTTTAGACTAAATGTTTACTTTTCCAGGTCTGGAAATCTACCAGTATTCAGAAACTTTTGTTGACAACTCCAGACTTTGTAAAAATACTACACAGAAAAACAAGACACACTGTAGATTGCTTACTTTAGCACCACTGTTGAAAAGCTTCACATAAGTGCCATCAGCGCTTGCCTCCTTAATCTGAATATAACCTTGGTTTGAATATTTAGTTCCTATTGTTTCTTCTTCTGTGCGTATACGTTTGGTAGAACGTCTACCAGATTTAGCAGAAGCTCCAAACACTGGTGATGCTGGGGGAGTGATGTTCAACCTGAAAAAGTACTTTTATTGTTACATGCTTGTTTCATTTATCACCTAACTTGTAAGCATCTAGTGAAGACTGTGCCTGCCCCCCCTCTGGAGAGTATAAGAATGTGCAGAGAGGTCAGCCAGGGATGTATATAGTTACCTGTACCAGTCATGAAAGTTAAAGTCTGTGTTCAAGCTCAGGAGCCTAAAGCCGCAGCTTATCCCAGTTTCCGTAACATGAAGCAACTAGGAATATTTCTACTTCTCCCTGGATGCGATGCTTATCCATCGCAGGGTTACCCTCAGCATTAAATTCACCAGGACCCATTTATACACTTGGGTGGAGAGAGACCCGGCCTCAAGAGTCTCATGGGCCTGATGAGGATGAGTGAGTGAGTGAAGAGAGATGCTGTGACAGTTAAGTATCTTGCTCAAGAACAAAACACAAAGATGGTAGCTAGGGTTTGAACCTAGACTGCTTGATACAGAGTCAGAGTCATGCCTTCCACTCAAGACATGAAAAACTAGCAATTAATTAAAGAACAGAAAACATTTTCAGCATNAAAAAAAAAAACTGAGCATAAATAATTTTGCAGGTATATTGTTTAGCTTTGAATATTTTCAGTATCAAAAACAGCTAGCCAAATCAGCAACCTTCATGATGATTTTAGACACTAAAATTATGATTTTCCACTTGCTATGGTGATTAAATTACTTTGAGCCCTGCCTAAAAAGATGGAAAACAGAAAAACATCTACAGCTACATGCAACTTATCACTGGCAATAAAAAAAGACATTCTTGAATACCCTGGACTGCAACTGGCTCAACTCAGATTTGACATTTTCAACTGTCATGGACAAAGTTCGTTTCTCTTCTCTGATGATCGACAACTCTTCTACATCTTTTGCAGACAACTTCTGAAGCTCGTCATACTAAAACAAAGTAACAGTACATTTATGAGGAAAAGAAATGACCATTGTGGCAATAATGAGTTTGCAATTTAGACAATTGCAAAGAAGCCTGTCGGGTTTCAACATTTTATACCCATGACCTCCGTGTTACTGGTGCAGTGCTGCACTACCTCAAAGTGAACAACATGTATGAAGCCACATGTTGAGAGTGACCCAACAGCAAATAGTGATCAAATCTATTGGTAGACAGCAATTGCATTTTAATACTGTACAAGTCATGCTTTTATCTTAAGCTGAATTTTATACTATGACATCATGTCATAGTATAAATTGCAGCTCAAGATAAAAGTACTATATAATGGAATTGTTGTTTACCTATAGATTTCATCAATCACATGGGGACAAAGGCAAAATAAAAAGAATTTATTTCTAAATAGAAGAAAGTTGTATAATCTTACTGCGCATTGTTACTTTCATTATTACTGTTATCTTAATTATGTCCCACCTTAGAACTGTAAAGGTTGTCAGTTTCATCCTTGTACTGTTTGGCTTCTGTATCGTACAATTCCCTCAGTTCTTGAAGCTTTTCTGACAGAATTCCTTCATAGCGTGACTTGGTATCAGATTCAATTTTAAAGTGTTGCGACTCCACACTTTGTAATTGAGAGCGGATCTCAAGTATTTCCTAGAGAAAATAAGATACTGTAATCTAGTTTCTTCATCAAGTAACAACTATAATACTGGAAAATGACCACCAAAAACAATTCCTGTTCATTTCACTTGTAGAACATGCTGATTTTCTAATGCATGATAAATTTTCATACAAATTTGACTAACACCCCAGCCAAAGAAAGCTGTTCCTTGTAGTCATATGTTCTAGAATTTACATATCGGCACGCTCTGCAATACATGTTAAAAATATAAAATAGCAGTGTAAAAATAACTTTGGTTGATTGGTTGAAGCAGCATTTCAATCAATCAATCAATCAATCAATCAATCAATCAATCAATCA